AACTTAAACCAATAAAGAAAATATTGTACTCAAATTTTACTTAAACTCAATAATAAGACAATTTATGAATTTTTATATTTTTGATAATGTGCTTTGAGACACACATCCTTAAATGTTTTTAAAAATATTTTATCACTTTATACAGTTTCCAACAGAGTTTGTGTAAAGTATTACACAAACTGGGGTATCTATATTTCTTCTTGATAAATAAAAAAATTGTTTACTCTTCTTATGTAATTAATCGATGTATGTACGAACATCTCTCTCAAAAGCTAAAGTGACCAACTTTATTTCATAGAACTTTTAATAAACGCATGATTATTTTATAATTTTATCAATTTTTTTTATGTTTTATTTCGAAGAGTTAATCAGTTTGATTACTATACACGTGTTAACATAACGTAGTATATTTTAGTATGTCTCTCTTAAAAATATTCTGCAGATGTCTCATACTTTTATACGCGAGATGTTTCTCAGAAGCATGATTTTCTAACAAGATATCTTGACAAGACTCCGCAGAGTCTCTTTCGCTACGTGAGATATGTCTTTCAGTAAAATTCTGAATACAACCCATCAAAAAATATACTATTTTTATCGAATTTATCTATCTTCGGAGTATCTTTTATGAAGTGCATTTAAACTTTTGCTTGGTGATGCAATCAAAACTTAATATCAGAGAAATGAGAAGTGAATGCTTCGTAAAGAGCAAAAGGTCGATATCGATTCTAGCAATTGCCGAGTTGTAATTTGTATCGGGGGAATAGAGGCGTGAAACACATCACTGTTAACCGAGTTTGCTGTTTCGTAGTCTACTTCCACGAGGAAGGCTTTGCATCAGCGATTCCAACCGCATTACGCCTTTGTTGATGTTCGATCTCGGCTTCACTTGCTGATTTCGGTAATTAAGTAATCATATTTATTTCCACGCTTATCCGAGCGTAAATTAAACCGAGTTCATGCTTCAAGTATATACATATTTGATGCAGTATCGTCCGTTTCCTTTCATCCTTTAGCTGTAATTATATTAGCTTTATTTATTTTCGGACAAGGATGGAAATAAATTTAATTACTAAAATTAATTAACAAGCTAGAAAATATTTTTAAGAATACTTTTTTTATATTTGACAGAATATTTTTTTTTTAATATTTTTCCTATCAACAATTTTACATATTTTATTCGCATATTTTAGTAAAAGATATTAAGTACTAATTACAAGTAATTAAAACGTTAAGTAATTAAAATAATTAAAATATTAAATAAAGCAGTAAAGTAATTAAATTATATAAATATCAAATATAGTTATATATATATATATAAAATAAAAATATTAAATAATTAAGTAGTTAAGAAAGTAGTTAAAATATTAAGAAATAGAAAATGAGGAATAATAAAATATAATTTCATGAACTTTTAATGTTTAAAAGATATTATTCTCACGTATTATTTTCTGCATCTTCATCAATTTAACAAACTCGAGTACGCAAATCAGATAAAATGTGAAACGTTCACGTGTTACTTATATCTCAAAAATCTTATTAATATCAGAACGAGTTGTGAATGTTGATATACGAATACTAGCTGCATAAATTTAATTTACAAATAATAGTAAAATAGGTGAGTAGTATCATTACGTATCATAATAATGTAGTTTCAATAATTAATTACTGCAAATATGCGATATTACCACACTTGCAAGTTAATATTTATGTAAGTTTGTACTTTATTATAAGATATAAAACATAAAATCTGTTAGATATATCAGATAAATAATAAAAAGATTAAAGACAGATAATTTATATTTATAATTATCTTCTTCATTAAACTTTATTGCATGCGTATATATACTTAGAAATCTAACGTATTGACATATTTCAAACCGAAAGACGTCTGTAGCATAAGATGAAATCTTGTTCATTTCCGATAAATCGCTTACATTTTCGATGAACGTGCGCTTCTTCTGCAAATGCAAAAAAATGTGCAAGACGAATTAATCGGAATTTGTCGATATTAACTTTATTTCTTTTATCATAAAAATATTTTCGAAATTATATTGTAAATTTAGTAAAAATAATACTCTTTTTATCAATGCATTATAACATAAAATTACACTTCAAACAACATTCAAACACTATTTCAAGTTTGTATTCTAATTGATCATTTTCGCATTTATTGTCTTGTAAATGTTATATAAATCGCGGATAATTTTATTAAAAAGTAAAAGATCAAACAATATGCATATTTTTATAAACAAAATTGCTAATACGCTCTTTCAGATTGAAAGAAAGTATTTAATATTAATTATATTTCACTATTGTTCTGAAAGTGTCTGAAAGAATTCGGAAAAGGTGAGCAAGGAAACAGCAGTTTTGGTTTACATAATATATGTTAAATTTATACATTCAATTACAGTATTAATAATGTATAAATAACTGCGCGAAAATTGTAAGACGATATATAATCTTAGGCGTATAGTAAAAAATGTTTTCTACATTACATTAGTTTTCTGAGATACTTAACTTTACTATTTACAATGCACCTAAATCAAGGACACTTGTTTTGGCATATCACCACACGACTCTCATACTACCATGTCACTTAATTATTTTCTGCAATAAAGGAAAATGAAACTTGAGAAATAAATCGATTACACATGAACAGTGATCGTTCTAATAGTTGACCCATTAATTTTTTATTTATACTTTTTGATTATCTACAGGAGACTGGAAAATACGCACAAGACAGGTGTCCGAGTATAGATATTCCGAACATTCTACGTGTCAAAAAAGGACTCGCGAGAATAGTAGTATATCGATTCTTACGTTGAAAAATTGCAGCAATTATTTAAGATTTATGTTACATATTATGTCAAACCAACTATGTCAGATTAATTAATGGAAACTGATATGTGTAAACATTTTATTTTCCTCGCGATTCATACCACTATTCTATTTTTTGTAACGGCTCTTATATAGTTATATATTATTATTACAAATAGGTAGTGTGCTTATTTCGAACATGCACGCGAATGGCATTTGAAAAAAAGCACGTTTCCGATATTAAGGGATATATTTCATTATAAGGAAGTGCGTGTATAAGGTACCGTATTTCTCACTGGTTTTGAAATAAGACAAAGCAGTACGCAAAGTCGGAATCTTAATAAATAATCTAAATCAAGAGGCACAAAATATTATACAAGAGATGAAATCAAGAGAAAAATACGTCTCTAGTTTATCTCTTTCGCGAATCAGGCACATATACAAAGTACATTTTATTATACAAGTATAATTATTCGTACTTGTTATCATACTCAAGGCACTAATCATATTCGTTATAGGATGACAAGAGAGAATATAATCGGTCATATAAAACTGTGCTCTTACAAGCAGTAATTGAAATATTTTCTTCTTGCGATTCATGCTAATTTCTTCCTTTAATCAATCAATATGAACATGCAACGGATAAAAAAAACCCGTATTGTACCATATTATCGGATTTCTCTTGTGACTCACATGTGGTAATACTTATAAAAAATGTAATCGTCACTCTTAAGATTATAAAATATTAAAGCTTAATCCTCTCAGTGTTTTATTTAACTACTTTAGAAGTTAATATACACTGGTATCATTCTGTAAAAATAGACAGCAGAATCGTATTATATTGATTGAGTAAAGGCTTGAAAAGACTGGAGAAAGAGAAAAAATCATTCTGCCTCTAAAATTTTCCACCAAGTACATTAAATAATCAATTCTGCAATTAAACTAAATATTTATTAATTCTTTAACTTTTAAAAATAAACTTTAGTCAATCTTCAAATAATGGAAAGAAAATGCTAATACGTAGACCCGGAATATACAGTCATGGCCAAACGAAATACTTAATATTCGCATTACAATATAGCGAATACGTGCGGATGCATTCGTAAAACAATCTTACTTATATATGGCCTGTCTACAATTTCACGAACAAAATTATAATGGCAAGATGTTACTTTTTCAAGCAACGCAAAATTTACAACATTAATAATTAACTATTAACGTTGCACGAAATCAAATTATAACAAAACAGTATATGTGTAAGAAATAAGACATTTTTTTAGAGCGCCGTGAAAACTTTAAAAATTGATGTCATGCGTTTGCAATTCTTGAATTAATATTTATCACGTATCGAATTTTGAAAAGCTCATTCAATTACAATCATTTTTGTTATGATTTACGTAATTATCTTTCATAAATAATTTTCCCAAGCAATATTTAATAAATTATTTCATTATAAATAGCGATGTTTTAAAACATGTGCAATTTAAAAAACCTTACAAATCAAGCATAAAAATGAATAGCTATAAAAAAAGTTATCGGTAGCCTGTTATTTTTATATATTAATTACATAAAAGAGAATTTATGCAAACTTGTTATTAAAGAATTGAAAAATTTTCAAATAGAAAAGTGACAAGACAAAAATTTATATATGAAGAATATTATTGATATATATAAAATAATTATGTAATTAATTATATAGAAAAAGGAGCAGAGTTTGTTTCTCGTTGTTTAAGTTCTTATTTCCAATAATATAACAATGGCAATTTATTTTTTTTTCGATATAGTCAATTATGCGGAATTATGAAAAAAGTATAAAGATATAAAATTGTATAAACATTTATAATATAGATTTATTTTACGAATCTGTTCTCGTTTCAATTCCATATTAACATTAAAATTGTGGAATTTCTATTTTTTTTGTGCGATTATCTTTAATAAATTTTGGACGTATAAAATATTGGTGAATATTAATTGCATTGTTTCTTCTTGTAATAAATCCAATGAATTCACAGATCATTGAAATATAATATTATCTAAGCAAAACCTATCGAATTTGTAATTGGCTATTTGTGGTTGGCAATATTTTGTTATGAATTGACTATTTTGGCACATAGCAGGTATGCATTAATATTTAATATACTTTCGTTTCTGGATTTAAATATTTTGACACGTACACCAGACTTCATTTTAAAATTTAATTTTTGCACAAAATACGAAATATATTTTTAAATCCTTATTAAAAAATCTACAGCACATAAGTATCTTCGTTGATAAAAGAACGATTAAAGACAGATAAAGCCGCACGTAAATTTTTTTTTATAGCTCAAAGATCAGACCTCCTTTGTGTGTGTATGATTCCCGTTGAACAAATTCTAATGAGTAGAAAAACAGAAATGAAAAAAATAGTAAATAAAATGTTAAAATTGCAGAACATTTTTATGTAAAAAATATAAAAATTATTGTTATTAGTTGGAGGACATATTCATTATCTGGATTCATACTGTGATTAAATATCGGCTATACTTGTCTACCCATTTTTAAACAAATACTTTTTCTTGACACTGAGATTGTGAATACAATGGGATACATTAATTAATGAGACATTTAATGCTATTTTTTTTTACAAATTATCGATATATTTATTAAGAAAAGTTTTTGCACATGCCTGCAGTGTCTATTAGTATAAGTCTGGCTTTATTTGTCATTAAAATAATGATTAGAAAATTCGAAAAAATATCTCCGAATCAATGTAATTTGATTTGACGATATATCTCCTCTCAAAAACAATTCAATTGACTCGACGCGAAGAACGAACTGTATTTATATAAAAAGATGATAGTTCTTTATCGTATCTTAGGCGAATAAGTGCAGAAGCTAAGAAGGCATATACAATAATTACAAGAAATAATACATAAAATAAATAAATGATGTTAATAATAGTAATATAACAATAATAATTAGACATTATTGGCATTAATAACAGTAATATCATTTTTATAATGACGTATTCGCGGATAAGGCGGTATTCAGGAAATTGTACTGAATTCTATTATAAAAATAGTAATAATGAGAAATGAAGTAATTACAATTATTTGTGAAACAGAGAAAATTGTGATGGGTAAAAATGTTACAGCACGTCTTCGGGCCTTTTCCATTAAATATAACTAATGTCTTAATTTATAGACGATATATATTAGTTTAACATACCACAGTGGTTTGTTAAAAATGCACGTCTCTTTGTTTAGAATACTAAACGACTGTAGCAAAAGAAAGTATGACTTCTTGCATATTAATTACAACCTTCGCAGCGAAGCCATACTGAGGGCCTTTCGAGTCGGTTGATCCGACATGGGTGCAACTAAAACATCCTCTCTATTTGGAGAACTTGAACCACCATTATCCAGCTCCTGAAAACATATAACACTTAAGACTTAATATATTCATTCTTCATCCTCTTATTTACTTCAAACATGAAAATGCATTAATAAAAACTTTCACATTTAGATTTTATTTTAGAATACAAAATAAGAATTTTATTTAAAAAATTATTTCATATATTATTAATATTACAAATAATATAGAAAACAAAATATATATAGATAAAAATTGATAATTTATTGATAGAATTATAAATATCAGCTTAAAAAAGAAAAAAAATAGAATTCGCCATATGTAAGATGTATAACTGTAATATAGTTATTGATTATGTGTTAAATCTTAATTTTATTTTATATTATAAAAGTATTACAAAAGTATATTATCTTCTAATCTATAATAAATTTTACGGATGGAATGAAAACATTAAGTCTTGAGGAATTAAACAAGTGTCGAGTTCAATACGATAACATAAAAGCAATACATAAAAAAATCTAGTAAAGAAAAATAATTTTTGATTAAGAAAAAATATATAATAAATTCCAATATATATATATTTTATAACATACTTACATGAAATCCTTAATATAGTTCGTCCATTGACTTTAAATCAGCATGAAAGTTTATTATAATTATTAAAATATTTTTCACGAAAATAATATAGTAACAAAAATTAATTATACAAGTATTGCAAGCAAAAGTAAGATAAAATATAAGTCCAAAACATTTATAAATGAAAAATATGTAAGATATTACTCTAATAGAAAAAAAGCAGTTAATAGAGTTGTTAAAATAATGAACGTTGAACAATCATCTTGTTATAAAAACATTGTACAAATAATATAAAGATTTAAAATATTTAACGCGTAATTTATTATAATTATTTATTATAAGTATTATACAAAAATATTTGAACATGTGAAAGTTAGTTTAATGTAATAGAACAGAAATATAAAAAAAGATTGCAAGTACAATTTTCTTCGTAATCCATCCCATACGTAAGATTATTAAAATAGTGGAAGAAATATTAGATTAGTGGAAAAAATAACAGCTTATAATGAATATAAAACAAAGAAAAGCAAAAGAAAAAGAAAAGCAAAAGAAGAAAAAGAAAAGTATTGACAGAAAAAAGTTTATATAAAAGATTGTCAACTAACGCTGATATTGTTGCAACTACCTAGCCGCATCTGAGCTATTTGTTGGTTTGTTGGAGGAAGATTTTGTGTTACTCCAAACGGGGACATAATTGTAGACATCGCTCTATTTAGTTTGCTTGGCGTTTTATTGAAACTAAACGCTCGACCGACTCTGGCTCTTGTACGAGATGCAAACCTGAAGAAAAATACAATTTGAATATTTTCTTATTTACTTTTTCATATACTTATGGAATTGTCTAAACGATCATTCAACAATATTAAACTTTCTTTCCTCCCTTCGAGTTAATAATTATAACATCTTTTTGATTTAATTTAGAACATTACATTTTTAGAAATAACATTTTTTAAATTATATGATAAAGTCTATTTCAATTGGAGGAAAAAAAGTTTGCAAACAAACAGAAAAATCTGCGTTATAAATCCACAAACACTTTTTATTATATCAGGAAAACTAGCTAAAGCAGACAGAATTTTACCTATTATGATACAAAGAAAATATAAGATATACATGTAGAGTTTTTTAAAACAATATAATAAAATATATTCAATTATACACGCGGTAATTAAAAACAGTAAAAATTGCACCATGGCTGCACAATAAAAGAAATGATACCTATTTAAAAAAAAAGAGAAAAATGTACATGAATGTATATTTTCTATTTTCTTACGTGCGTGCGTGCGTGGTGTGTGTGTGTTTATATAACTGGTTGTGTGTATGTATAACTATTTAAAAAAAAATTATACGTATATCGTAGAAAAGTAAGTAGAAAATAAAAATTAAGCGACAACACTGACAAACAATTTTTTTAACAAACTAAGCGATCAAATTGCAAATTAAATTATAATATAATTAAATGCAGAATGTTTATCCATGTCAGTTATGATAAATTAAAATCACAATAAGTCCAAAAAATGCTGATATTAAAAACAAAAGAAAATATATAACATTTAATCTTCGCGTAAAAAAATATAATAAAAAGCTTTTAATAAATAAAGCTCACAATGTTATATTATGCCTGAACTAATCAGAATAAACCAAAAAATTATATTTTTAAATAAAATTATATCTATATTTATCACAGCATAAAACAAAATTTTTAAAGCAAAAGTTTTCAGTACCATAATTATATATTTTCAGTCTTTAGTAAAAAAAAATTAAAAAGATCCTTTTTTTTCTATTTCAGTTGCAAGATTAAATATGTTAAAAAATCTATAAATCTTTAATGTTTTATATAAACATTTATTTGATTAACAAAACATTTCTCTTTTAGTTTATATAAAAACATTTTAATTTTTATAATATTTTTAAATCCGTTAATACGAGTATAACAAACCGTACATTAAATACTCGCGTTTAATAACAATAATTATGCCACTGAATAAGGAATTGAGAATAAAAAGCAAGTAAAAAAAAATATAATCAGCCTTGGTGCGAAAACTGACGGTAGTGGGACATGTAACGTGGTTTCACACATGCTATTGAGTAGGAAGACATACGGGTCCATATACTCCAGGTAAAAATTATGAAATAGGCTCCTGTAACCAAACGGTTTGCCCCATTATTTCTTTATCTACATCATGCAATGTAATATGTACACTAATATATATTTTTGACTGTGCCTTGTAGAACTATGTCGGTGCCTATGGCGGTATTTATATAGATAGTTTGAATATAAACAACATAAACAACATAAATTTGCTGTTCAACAAATAATTTGTTCGCTTATCTAAATGCAAATAAAAATTCTAATAATTTCTGCAATAAATACTAGTTATACAGGGTGGGCCATCTATTGGTACGTTTTTGAATTTCGTCGTATGGCAACACCGAACGAGCTACAGACCCGAAATTTTGACAGTTTATTAGTCATACCGTCCGCGGCACGAAACAACATGTTTTCTCTTGAAGAGCGTTTTGAAATTTTAAAAACTTATTTTCAAAGTCAGTGCTGTGTCGCCGAAACTGTACGAATTTTGAAAAGAAATATGGGTCGTGATAGAGCACCCACCGAAGGAGCTATACGCAAATTGGTGAGGAAAGTTCGTGAGAAAGGGATGTTAGTGGATGACATTATATTACGACTGTTTTGAGTGAAATTGGTGCCGAGGTAGTCCAAAATGTCATTAATAATTGGGGTGACCGAATGGCATACTGTAAGGCCAGTAGAGGGAGCCACATGAACGAAATCGTTTTTCATTCTTGACGCGGATACTTTTAGCTTCACAACAAAAAAAAAATTAATAAAAAATATCAATGTATGCTCATTTGATCGCATTTTTAAAAACGTACCAATAGATGGCCCACCCTGTATATTAATAATATTCTTAGTTCGTTAGTCGGTATTCGTAGTTCGTTCTTATTTCAAGACTGTAATGTCTTAGGATACTAATACGGCCCTTCGATTGGCTTGTAACATCTTAAGGCTGTACTTAAGACGATCTTGAATATAAAAATCGAATATGAATACCGACCTTAGTTACTAATAATTAAGTCAATTTACATTATCTTTTCAATCAAAATATTTGTTGAGCGAAAAATTTAAGATTTTTATTAATATTTAAATAATCTAGAAGTATGCTACAAATAATTGAACTCTTCTATATTTCAATGTGCCCAAATAATCTAACTACAATAATAGAAGAGAAGAAATAAGTCAATCCTCACACCTTTTATAATATTTGATAAATATCCCGTAAGAAAAAATTTACTATCCTAATATGTAGACAAACTAATTTACTATTACTTTAGTTGCTATAATATAATGTTAAAATAGTGATATATATAAACTGGCAAGGAGAATACATAATTATTGCTTCAAAACACAAATATACTCACTTAATTGTTTTCTTTAATGTTCCTGATGCTACATCGCTAGTACCAACTTCAAGCTGATGCGAATCATATCTAATGAGTAACGTATCCTGATAAACAAAGAATAAATAAAACATAAATTAATATTATATATTGTAGTATGACATTTAAACTAAATTTCTAGTCCGCCAATAGACGCAAGCAGAAATTGTGAGAGATGAAATCAACTGCGTTTGTATTGAGTGCAATCCATTTAACGCTACAAATGTTTCATTGATCATTCAGAAGAAAGAATTTTATGAATTGATCAATCAAAAAATATTTCAAAGGATTTGCAGCGTTGGGTGGATCGTACCTTTCAAGTTTACTTAACATATTCTGCTAGCAGAATTAAGATGTAATGGTATATTAATGATAGAAGGGATTTGTCAAATGAATAAATTTTGCTAAATTTCTGCCAACATTCTATCAAGAATATTATACGTAACAAACTTTGCATCAAATTTATAATTTTTTTGCCAATAAAATTTACGATAACACTTTGTAAAATCTTTTCTCGACGGACTCGGTTGTTTAAAGATTTATATATATAGTAAATATATATAACTTACAGCGTCAGCTACACGGACAGCAAGAGCCATCTGTCTGCATAAGGTCTGTAGGTAATTCGTTTTGTTTACTTCTTCATCAGTAATTATAAACGAAAAGAATTTTTCCTTCAATTCCTGAGTCCCTCGTACCACGAGTGCAAACACTTTGTGACATTCTGAAAGAATTGTGTAACTATAAGTTACAATTTTTATTTTATAAAGAATGTGCATGTTTTACACACATAATAATATTTACGTACCGTCAGTTTCTCGTATATCCACAACTTTTCTTATAGTACTTAGGGACAACATTTTGATATGCTTATATGGCTTTCCTTGGCTAAGTTTAATTGATTGCAAGCCATTTATAGTATTAGGACTCTTTAACGAGTTGAAAGCTTTCGATCTTTTCTTGCATATTTCGAGAGTATCGGTAAACAGGAACAATACTAAATGATCACCTCGTCCACTAAGACCTTCCGTAACTTCCATTACATCACATTTACTGATAAATGACCTATGCGAGGAAACTAAATGCGGTGGACAATTGTCAATCTCATTAAAGATATCGAACATTGCTAATTGGCGCTCCGTTTTCCTTTTGTCCTCATTTATGTACGTCATCACTTTCTTAATACAGCTAATAGAAGCTTCCAATGCACTATAATCTGGATTACTTTTGTCCGTATGCTTAAGAATATCTATAAAAAATAAAAACATTTCGCTGATGTGCGCAAAAATTTATAACAAACAATATTGTTTAAAAGTAACTTACCGCTTAATAATAAACTAATACTGGGTAACCTTTGTATTGGTTTAATCAAGAGTTCCTTTAAGCTTTGTCTACCGCATTCCGGTATTGTCTGGCAATTTTTTAAAAAGGCATGAAATCGTGGCTTATTTTGATCACACTCTTCCAACATTTGTTTTGTATTTTCAAAGAAGTTTACATATGGAGGATATGCTTTAACCAAATCTGGTTCAAACTTTAGAAATATTTCGCCAATGCTAATATCCTCTGTCCAATGAGCGGCACTACAATGCAATGCCTCTAACAACTGTTTATGAACGTCATAAATAGGTGGGAAATTACCAAATATAATTTTCCCCACTTTTACCTATGAGATTTTCCAATGGCAATTTGAATAACTGTAAAATATCATATAAATGTAGATTATTGAAAATTAATAACAATATAAAATAATTTAATATATAAATACTTACCGTCATAATTGTATTAAGGATACCTACGTAATTGGCCTCAGTCTCTACCAATTCAAGAAAGACTTTATGACGTTGCGACAAGTTTTCTTTAACTATCGGTAAATGTTCTATAGCAACAGATTCTACCTCTGAAATATTTGATAGTTAATAAATAATTTTAATACAATCTTGCTTTTTATTTAGTTCATTTTAGTAAAATAATATATACTGCATTTTAAAAATATTAATTTTTGAAATATTAATTTTTGCAATATAATTTAACATTAAACTTTTTATACATCTGAAAGATACGAGCACTTTTATTGACAGAAAAATAATTAATTTATTATAACATAAAAAATATTGATTCATTGCGTTTAATAGACAGCTAGAGAAAAGAAAAACAGCAGACTATAATTTACTAATATATCAAAATAATAATGTATCATTTTGTTAGCTTTATTATAAGTGTTAATCGACATATATTTAAAAATTATTTCGATATATTATATCTTATACAGAATTAAATACGTGCAAAATTTAAAAAAAAAACATCAAATGCATACCGTCTAGCAATTGTTTATCCGGACTTGCTGTACAGTCCAGAAAGCTTCCACTGACACTGGCTGGTGAATCTGCTCCATTTTGTAACAAATTAGATAATGGACCACCTAACCAACAGGGGTGCTTTGACAATGTTACATTCTGTGATATAATCTGTTGACTGTCTCGTCTACCCGTCGCAGTAGGGGACAGAACTTTTTCTAGATACTAAACAACACACAATTCTGTTTATCATATAATAATAAAAATATTTAAGAAATTTATTATTATTAGCTTACATGTTCAAATAGATACTCCTTTTCATCAGCGGCTGCCTCATTCTGTACAGATGTCCAAAACCATCCGGTTTTTACTATGAATGCAGATACTGACACTAAATTTGGTAATACATTTACATTGGACTCATCAACGACCTGTAAAAAACATCGAAATTATTATACTTTACTACAGTGAACCATTTAAAGTCAGCTTTATAATCACTAGACAATTATACAATTTGACATAATTTTATACATTTCTACATCACAATTTCTATACACCAAATTTTCAAAAAACAATATATCGTGTACTGTATATACCATATATTGATACACATATACAATGTAACATTAAAAATTTTGTATATAAATATGAATTCTAGATAAATATAGGACGTTCACATGAGACAACATAAATATGTGAGCAAGTATCTATATTACAAAAATTAATTTTTAATTTAATTTATTTTATGTGTGTGTGTGTGTGTATATGTCCATTAAATATTTTTTATTTAAATTAGTAAATACTATTAGGTGTTGGAATTAATTCGTAGCGTTTTACAAGTGATGGGAAGTACTTTCATTAATGTATTTTTTAATGCTCATGTGAAATAAATAACATTCTTTCATTAAAAACGCTACGAATTAATTCCAACACCTAATATATACCCTGTAAATCGTCTCTTTTTACATTACATATGATTAAAGACACATAAAATTATTATATTTTACAGATAAAATTACTAAACCTTATAATATCTTCCAAACAAAAAAAAAAAAAAAAGAAAATAAATACCACGAGTAATGATTTATCCTGTGTCTTCAAATCTGTGCACTCAGTTTTCAAATCGTGTAGTGCAGATGATACATTGTTACTTTTTCCATCAAATATAGAAGTATTTTGTAAATTGTGTTTAGTATTTGAAATTTTTGTAGAAATTGGGAAAGACTTGGATAAAGATGTATATTTCTTTTTGAGAAGAGTTTTCTCGGAAGGATAATAGTACGAACTGGTGGAAATATCTTTCTTACTGTCTGAAAATATTGGACAGAAAGAAAAGTGGTTGATTTTTGAGAAAAAAGATGTGTGCGATTTGGATAAATGCTTATTTCTTTCACCTAATGCATTGTGCAAAAAAGTATCGCTATATTGTTCCTCATTATGTTTCAATATATTCGGATATGAGCGCGTTTTTATGAATTTACATTTTTCAAGCGTCGCCATTTTATGAATAAATGGACAGGAATTAGTTTTTCTCCATTTTATATATCGTTTTATTTTACTTTTTGATGTATTATTCTGTACGTAATGAATATTTTTACGATATTTTAAAGATGACATACTATTATTCGTTGGTGATAAACAAAGATTATATTCGTTATTTTTTTCATAAGACGGCTTTAAATCTGGTTTATCTGCAAAATTCGACGAGTTTTCACAAAAAGATACTCCGTTATCGAACAAAGAACTTTCAGAAATATAGAATTTAACATTTTTATTGCTTATTATTGTCGGTGGTGTTGGAACTGAATATTTATTTGACATAAAAATTGTTGAAGATGAATTAGATGATCTGGTTATGTCTATACCAGAATCACTTTGCTCTATGAAAGAATGATATAAGTTTCCAGATTTAATAATTGAATTTTGCAAATTGAGATAATTATCATTCGTACTAATAACAGAATCTTGACTGATATCATATATGGAAACGAGGTCGTTCCACTGATTATTATATTCTACATCACGTATATATGAGATTAATGAATTATTTTTCGATGAAGGATAACTTGATATAATACTATAATCAGTTTTTGTTGTATTAAAAATTGCATTTGAATAAGGATAAAAAGAAGGAGTTGGTTTAATATACGTTAAGGAAGGTGGATTATTGGATGTATTTTTAAGATATAAGTCCACATTTGCTCTCTTGTAGAAAAGGCCGGATATATCTACCACCTAAAGCATTTATGTAATACATAAATGTCTATGTGATGTAGTGTCATATAAACAAATTTGTATATAGAAAATTATTTATAAATAATATGAAAATTATATTAATTACTCACGACATGAGTGCAATTCGGATCATCAATCTCAGTAGGTTCGCCGCCCTGTTGCTCCAGAACCTCACACATATGTTTCTTCTCTTCTTCGGGAAAACCAGAAAAACATACTTTTGCCCCATAAAATGGCTTTAGTTTATAAGTTGCTATCTGCAATTAGAATTAAGTATGTTTTTAAGACTAAGGAAATTTTTATCATAATGTTACCATTAAAATTCGAATGAGAACACTACATCGCTTTATCATACTAAGCGCTCAGAGATAGCAATAGAGAGATATGAGTTCAATGCAGATTCTGCACTACGATTGTTTGTTCACATACATACACATGCGTATTTTCTTTATCTTTTTATTGCTACCTTCAGTGGTACTTAACAAACTAATTGCACGTCGTGTTAGTGCCTTGAAGGCACTAAAATTATATATTGGAATTAAATATCAAAATTTATTCAAATGTTTACATACAATAAAATAATTATAATTATTATAAAAATCAATGTTATAATTATTTTATTTAATTAAACATTTTTTAAAATATTAAAATTTTATCTTGGAATTATTATCTTTACACCTACCAATTCCTCATTGTTCGCATATGTGGAGATATCGTCTTTGGCATTCCACAATGCTATCACCCATTCTATCGACATGATAGGCAATCCAAATGTGTCAGCGTATCTGTATTTTTCTCCACTGCAGTGATTTGCAATAAGATGCGTCACTTTAATACCCATCTCCTTTCGGATGCTACCTCCCATATTAAGAATCATATTAGCTAACTTGCGCTGTTAAGAAATACATTACCTTATAAAAATATGAAATATATATAAAATAACGTCATAAAAATTGTAAATAACTGAAATTGTAAAATGGACTGACCAGTTCATCCTCTCTAGCTCGAAATCCACTAAATACCACTATTGTGCCTACCATAGCTTGTGTGTACATTGGTCTTTTAATACTGGGTAAAGGTTCTTTCTTCTCTGCCAGTTGTAGCAGAGCCGTAGGTCCCAGTACTCTACAAAACATAAGGCAAACGAATAATCAGAATTTGTCGTTCAATATTAAAATTTAAAAAAATTATTAAATTATTAAACGTTTTATATGTTATAAACTATAACATATTATTATATACAAACCTATGGGCACTCTTGCATAAAGCATCATATTCGGACCCTTCAAATTGTTTGAGTATAAAATAGGTATTGTAAGTAGTATCTTCAACATATTCTGTGCCAGTTTCAGATTTAAGTACTGGCACTTTGAATTGCTGAGCAGCAACATTAAGTGCAGGATCATTGCAGGTTGCACCAACTAAGCATATCCTTTTCTTGCGTGGTATTATTAAGGCTGATAACAAATAATTGCTTTGTCATCAAACTTTTATTATTAGCACTATTGATTTACATTTATTTAAATTATTTAAATTATTAATTTTGTTAAATCAACATTTTTAACAGAGCGGGAGATAGTTTTTAAATATTTCATTTTATAACTTGATTACATAATGTAAAAACATAAAAATCATAACAATAATATTATTTTCAGTATTAATATTTCACTATTTACTATTAAACATTTTTTAATATTAATAAAAAATTAATATTGACATATTATATTATTTAAACATTATTATATATAATATTATAACATAATTAATAATTACAAAATAATATTATTATTACAATAATTACAAAATAATATTGTTAGATGAAGGGTATATACGATATAATTAAGGATGGTAATTAGTGTTTCTCGGTAGAAATTTTTTATTTATACATGTGTGCATGTACATTACATATGCGCACATGAATAAATATGAAATTTTCGTTCATCAATAAATCACTATCGCCTTAGACTTCGACAAGCTAGAAAGATTTGTTAGAAAACACTATTTTTAGTCGTGTCAGCGTGCCTGTAAAGTTCAAACATTATTATACAAAGTACACAAGCTCTAATCTCGTATCATAGGCAACGGGAAGTCGCGTATACATGTATACATCTGTACGCACCATTCACGTGCTCGGCGTAAGATAATTAACTCGCGAAAAACACGAAGGATAGAGAGAGAGGAAAAAAGATAGAGGAAGCGAGAGCGAGAAGGAAAGAATAACAGAATGAGAGAGGGAGATAACAGATGGAGACAGAAACGAACGAATCACAAATTACTGCGAGAAACAGCATTGTAATTTTCAAGGAGTTTCGTAAAGGACATTCGTCACGGAGAGAGACATCATGTCTTCAATATAATTTTGGACAATTCAAGGCCGAGCTTGTAAGACTAACGGACGTGAGCTACACAAAAAATCTCTCATTTTCTTTCTACTGTTTTTCTTTAAAAGCGATAATTTAGAAAGATCTGAAAGAATACTATGACATTGATTGATGATACCGAGTCATAAATTTCGTTAAAAAAAGTATGAAAGTAAAGAAAAGAAGTAGTTTGAAAGTAAAGAAAACGGATTCGTTAAAACTGTATATGTATACAAGGATCTCTTCGTGGGCTTCCGTTTTCACGTTTACACGACCGGGGACGTTTCCTGTGAAAAATGCGAGATCATTGTCGATGCGGATTCGCGAGATCGAAGCCTCTAGTGCGAAAAATTCAAAATCGCCCAGAGATTAAGGACTTAAGGATATTCGGCAGAAGCGGCAAGTCGAGTGTCGACCCGTCGACCGCGTAACGACGTCATCGTCCTCTCCCGTAAGACGCCGTAGATGATTTAACGTTGACAGATTCGCGCTTACTTTTGGTCGCCTCCGCACTATTTTCCATCTTGGCCCCGTACGTTACAACATCGGCCCTCTCTTCTCTCTTCTTTGTACACGCAAATCTTGCCGAGCGTATCCTCCCGTCTTCGACGTGCAACGACACTCGTCCGTCCCGTCGCCGATCATTTAAAATGCTATCGCGCAGGCGACAGCCGCGAGGTCCTCCGCACCACCCTCGTGTTCAACATGAAACGTCACTCGCGCTCGCCCGTTACCACGAAACAATTATCTTCCCGAAATCGCAACAAGCATAAAAACCAACAGCGTCGACGGCGATCATCGACAGGACGACCAACGGCACAGAAC